GTGTGTTCCTTGAGACTGGGGACCTCGGTAGGGTGTGGGCAGACCTGCCTGTCTGCAGCGAGGTGATTCAGCGTCTTCTGTGTGACTCAGGACCTTGGTAGGGTGTGCACAGACCTGCCTGTCTGCAGTGGGCTGATTCGGTGTGTTCTGTGCGACTCAGGACCTTGGTAGGGCATGGGCAGACCTGCCTGTCTGCAGCGGGGTGATTAGGCGTCTTCCATGCGACTCAGGACCTCGGTAGGGTGTCCACAGGCATGCCCCACCCACCAGCTTCCTCAAGCCTCCGCGCTCTGGCAGCCGATACTTTTTAGTTTTAAAATGTATTCACTCCTTTTTATTGTAAGGTCATTAAGTGTTATGGTAAAGCACAACCAGTATGTCTTTTCTTACATTGCCTATCAGGTATGACTTATCAATCACTCAAGGAAGAGAAAACATGGTTTTCCTCCATCTACCGCGTGTTCAATATCCTACTCAGGCATTGTCTACTTATTGATTTCTTATCTATACCTCCTTCAATACTGTGAGTTCTTTGCAACACCTGGGAAATGTGACTTTTAACCATTTTAACTGCAGAACAGTGTTTGACAGAAAAGTAACAGCCCAATGTACTTTTGTTGAATGCCTGGCCCATCATTTCTCCATTGGGTGAGAATGCTGGGCCACACATGAGCTGGCAGAAAACAGTAGAGCAGTGATTTTGGTGCCTGGAAAACAGAGGGAACTAAAAAGTTTCCTACAGCCAAGGAACAACAAACCAAAGAGACAACCTATGGAATGAGAGAAAATATTTACATACCACACATCTGATAGATTAATAATCCAAAATATGTAACAAACTCAAACAATTCAATGAATAGTATTAGAAAACAACCTGATTTAAAAAATAGACAAAGGACCTTAATAGCCATTTTTCAAAAGAAGACATACAAATGACCAACAGGTGTATGAAAAAAGAAAAGCTCAACATCATTAATCATCAGAAAAAATGCAAACTTTAACCACAATGATCTATTAGGTGACACCTGTTAGAATGGCTACTATGAAAAAGATGGAAGATAATCTTTCAGCTTTAAAAAGAAGAAAATCCTGTTGTCTATGACAACATGGACAAACCTGGAGGGTATTATGTTGCATGAAATAAGCCAGAGCCAGCAAGACAAATATTGCACAATCTCACTTATATATGTGGAACCTAAACAAGTACAACTCATGGAAGTAGAGACTGAAAAATGAAAACAGAAGTCAAAACTGCCTCCTCAATATCCACCATTATTTTAACTGCTTAGTTCCTCATGTGATTAAAGACCTTTATTTCAAGCATGAAGGAAAAATACCAAGTATGGTTGGCTTCCTGAAGTTAAATTTATTTGAAAAGGGAGCACACTAATATTAAAGACTTGAAGTATAATTCCTTGGTACCATAAGAACAATTCTTTTTTTTTCCCCATAAGAACAATTCTTGCATAGATTTTAATACATGTGTTTTTGGTAGTTTTCCTCCATGATAGAAATAGAGTATTTACATAAGACAACCATTTCAGAATATGTTTGAGGTCTACATTCTGTCATGAGTTTTTTTCAACATATTTCTATAATTCAGTAAATGTATACCTCTGACTTGGATAAGGGCCAAACATTATGATTAGTGGTTATTTAAAAAAATCATAAAGTTGTTATTGAACTTATCTGTTTCTAAGGATGGAAGAGGAATAATATTCAGTTGCTAATAGCAAACAACTGTTATTTTCCTTTTGAGGGGTTTGACACAGTGTGACCATCTGTGAATGGAAGCGCCTGGCTGATTATTTCTACAATAAAGAGTGTGTCATTATAAAAACTTAAGAAGGAACACTACAAGCAGACTATAATACTCTTTAGGGCAAGGTTTGTACCTTATCCACCTTCATATATTACTTATATTTTTTCTCAATGAGTTGAAAATAACAGCAGTCATTAATTTAATTTGCCATGTCTATAATAAAGGGAGCGCTTACCAAGCACATTGACAAATGCATTTGCCAGTAAATATCCATACTCATTAGAGGCATTGCATTGATAAACCGCACTGGATCTTTCTTGAACATTTGAAAAAATTATGGTATCACCATCTATTCTTCTGCTGGGGTCATCAGGAGCAACTGTTTGGGTGTAAAAATAGAAAGAATTATTTGTTTCTCCTTGCTTAATAGATGTATATTAGACTGGTAAATCTTGAAGTCTACACAGAATAAGGGGGACACAAATACAGACTGATCTAGGCATAGGTAGCAAGAAGATGACTAGAAGCCAAGGCAGATGCCATCATTATTTTCTCACCAGAAATTGGTTATCACATATCAACATACATCTGTGTTCAAGAGTCACTGAGGCTTGAGTAGGTTAATTCTGTAAAACTGAGGATTATTTTGAGAGGTGCAGATCTCTGAAACTGCATTTGGCAAGTTGAACCAGTTAAGAGGACTTGACTTCCATTCTAAGCACCATTTCTTTTTCTTTGGTGGTAGGAAAAAGATGTTCATTTAAAATGTACTTATCTCTACAGTGAGGCTTTTATCACTTTGAAATAAAAAATATTTGGTTCACCTGTGATTTATTAACTCACTTCAATAAAAACAAAGCAAATGACAGTTATTTATTCTTATTTTATTACGTACACTCCAAGTACTGTGCTCACTCATTTTCTAACAGTCTCCTACCATTGCTGTAACAGTTTACCACAAACTTGGTGGCTGAAAACAACACAGATTTACTGCTACAGTATTTGGTTCTGTAGGCTGGATGTCTGACGTGAGTCCTCCTGAACCAAAAGCACAGTAGGGCAGGGCTGTGTTCCTTTGTGGAGGTCCTGTGGGGGGGGCATTCCCTTGCCTTTTCCGCCTTCTGGAGGTGCTCCACATTCCTTAACCCACGGTCTCTTCTCCATCTTCAAAGCCCCCTGTGCTGCATCTCTCTGATCATTCTCCCAGTCACATTCCTCTCTGACCAGTCAGGAAGGCTTTTGGCTTCTGAGGGCCTGCGTGAGTAAAGCAGGCCCAACCCAGATAACTCAGGGCCATCTCATGGCCCTTAATCAACACAGGCAGAGTAACTTTTGCCATGTATGGTAAAATATTCACAGGTTTCAGTGAGGACATCTTTGGGGGGCCATTATTCTGCCTACTGCATATTCCCTCACATTTATCTTTCTGTTGGTTCAGATAAGAATATTCTAAAAAGACAGACTCTTGGAGATGGCGGAAAGGATCAGAGGGAGCTGAGAGAAAGGAGAGTAAAGGGATTGAAAATGGTCAAGATAGGTTACATGTATGTACCAATTTTCCAAAATGAACATCATTATTCGGTGTGGCAAGTATATGGTAATAAAACAAAAAAATTGATGCACCACAATTATAGCTTAGAACAAAATTTTTGGTTAGCTCCCAAAGATTCTTAAAACTCCAACTTATGAGCTACTCCTCATGGATTGATTAGTGCCTTCATTCCTGAGCAGGCAAGATATGTTCTTACAAAAGTAGTTGTTTAACACTGGCATCACAATCAATAGCTAAATCGTGAGATCTTCTTAGGTATTCCAGTCTGTTCCATTAGTGATGGGGGTAGCTGTGATACTTCCAATTGGTTTCTTAGTTCACATCTGCTGTTTCTGATGCTATAAATTCCCAGATTACCTTAAGGAACAAATCAGAAGACAAGTAGAAGCAATAATTTCTTCAACAGGCTACAGATTCACCAAAAATGACAGCTGAGGATTGAAGTGTCACACTGGCCTAGGAAGTGAACTATGCATGTAGCAGGCAGCCAGGGACCTGTATTATGGTTTTTATCTGGATGTCCCCCCAAAGCCTCATGCGTTCAGAGGCAGAGGCTTGTAGAGGTGATTAGTTTATGGAGATGCCACATCTGGCTTGGTGTGGGGCCAGACTGGAAGAGGTGGGTCACTGGGGATGTGATGTGGAAGGGGGCATCTCCTCCCTGGCTCCTCTTTTCATGCTCTGCTTCCTGGTTGCCATGAGGTAAGCAGCTTTTCTTTTGTGATACCCCTCTGGCATGTCGCCCTGCCTGGGGTTAGCAGACTCTGGACTGAAACTGCTACAAACTGTGAGCCAAAATAAATCTTTCCTCTTTTATGCTGTGGCTGTCAAATATGTTTTCCCAGTGGTGAGAAAGTGATAAAGAAAACTGAGAATGCAGCATGCCTCAGAAGGGCTCACATTCCTTGTCCTGGATCCCAAGACTTGTATCACCAGGGCCTTTCTGACTCACTCTCTCTCAGGGATGCCCATCCACTGCCCCAGTAAGGCAGCATTTCTGGAGACTCTCTGTGGATTATTCCTAGCACTTGTAGACCCAGCATTTGGGCACTTGATGTTGGGAGTCTGCAGGGGACTTTTGGTACCAACCATGTGCCACCCTGAGTGCACCTCTGTGGATACGCCAGGCAGAGGAGTACGGCCCCGAGGACTGTAGATGTGATGGGCACAGGTGGATCTTGGAGCCATGTCTCTCTGGATGGTGACAGACTGTGGGAGAAGAGCTCCCCACATTCCCTGATTATATGAACTCTTAAGAGTCAGACCCACCATCTGATAAAGTCTAATAGACATAGGGTTCCAGTTTTTGCAAGATGAAAATGGCCTGGAGATGTATTGACAGCAATGTAAATATACTTTAACAATAATAATAAAGGTTATACTACTGTGATCACTGAGACATAGCTCAGCTGACAAAGCTAGAGGACAATTTTCTCCAAGTGGAGACTCCTTAGTCACAGTCATAAAGCATTTCTGTAGATCAGAGTTATAGTTTTCTTTGGTATCAATTCTTCAGGAAAATATTCTTTCCTCCAAAAGGCATCAGACTGTATCTGCCTTATTTATGCTAAATGGATCAGTCTTCAAATATTTATTTTTGGCAAGATACTAAGAATAAAACAAACTTGTACATTAGGTATGAGAAATGAGTAAGCAAATCTCTTTCCATGGGGGTTTGAGCTACATTTTCCTAAAGCACTTATTAAAGAGATGCAAACAAACTCAGGAATTGGCACAGTGACATATGAAGCTCAGTCGGTAGCTGGACACAGAATAGAATCACTATGCAGAGACAGTTGAAGCCTTTGGATGCTGTGTGCTGGTCACTGGGTGGGAGTAACTCGCCAGCATACAAACCCAAATCATCTAAAGGAATAACAATTAACTCTAAGAATAACCAACTTCATTTGCTGTAAATGAACACCGGAAAAAGAAATTGAAGAGAATAGAATCTCCATATATAGCTATAAGCCCCAAAGGTAAGGTCCAGCACTGGGGTGCCAGCTTTCAGAAACACTTTCTTTTAATCTAACTTTCCTGACATGACTGGCTAAAATTACATATGTTTCCAATACTTAATGAGAATAATAATAATGATGATGATGATGATGATGCTACCTTACAAGTACAGAGCACTATCAGTCTTTAGAACATTTTTACATTTTATTATATAATTTTATTTTACAAAGAACTTTATCAAGTAGTTTAACCACATAGTAAGGCATTACAGTGGTACCTCAGTTCATAAATGCTTTTGTTTGCAAACAATTTGTTTCACAAACAGAAGCATTTGGCAAAATTTTGTTTCTGTTTGCGAACTCTGCATCAGGTGACAAACATGACTGCAGCCATCTTTCCCGTATGAATGTGAATGTGGTCATCTTTTCTAGAATTTTGGAATGAATTAAGTTTGTGAACCGAGGCACTATTGTAAATGCATTTTGGTAATGTGAGCAACTACAGACAGGCACACTCAACTGTTTGAGATTGATATTTAGGTTTTCTGAGTTATTCAACTTTATAAGTATTTCTTAGAAAATGAACATTTGGGCATAATGTAGAACCAATCTTGGGGTGGACACTTGAATTTTTCTCTTTATCCTTACTGTATTCCATCACCTACAAGAGGATGCCAACTGAGCCCCTTACTTTGGAGAAACAGAAGAAGGATCAAAGAAATCTTGGGAATATCCTAGACTAGGCCTCCATTTCCTTGGGTGCTTACCATGTGTCACTAGTTTTCAATCTTTCCTTCCAGAGTGAGCAAATATATAACTGTGACAGGAGAGCTGCCCTTTCTCGTCTTCTTTGTTATTTCCTCCTCATATCTGAGAGGAAAGGGGCCTTTTAATATAAGAATAGTGAGATCTTCTGCAGGAGTGTGGAGAGCCAACACAACTCACAGAGTGGACCATTAAAGGCCTACAAGTATCAGCCTCTCCTGCTACCTCCTGGATAGGGATCATGGTGACTATGGCCTTGCCTTGGGGACCACCACTAGGATGGCATGGGCTCTCTAGTGGGGGAGACAAAAAGCAGAAGGAACTCACAAACTCACATCTAAGAGTGAATCCAGTGTCCTACAAGGTGGCTTCCTGGAGAGAGTTAGGAAATGCTTTGCTGGTAGCAAGTTCTTTTTCTTTCTGGGTCTGCCTTCACACCCTCTAGGATAATGCAAGTCACACAGTAAAACTAAGTTCTCCCTTCAGCACCAGCTCTTACAACTGTGTTATTGCTGACTTCTGTAGATTGTTTTAAAACTATTCTGGATGGTTTTGGGCAAATTCCATATTTAACACAACGTTATTTTCAAAGGAAATTTAAAGTAATACCACCAGTCTTTGCGGGGAGAGGCTGAGTAGCTTTAGAAGCCACTGAGAGGAACCTGGGTGTTTTTGGAATTAATACTTTCAGTTTTGCAGAACAGCAGTTTCCAAGTTAGAAACACAGTCACAAGTCAATGGCTTCACATTTTGCTAGCAAAATCCAAGTCTTATGCTTCTCTTTTCCTGATCCTGCTTCTCCTTGGACAGTATTTGTGTGCACTCGGCAGCCAGAATCTGCAGAAGCAGAGGAGGGGGTTGGTGTTCTTGAGCACTTGCCCACAAATCAGGAGCGGGAGGCTGTGTGCCTGGCAGTATGGGCCCCTGACTGTGTCTATTCTGTGTGGCTCAGGGGATGAACCTCAGGCACCTGGCAAGGATGCTGCATGGCTCCCTGCAGGATGGTATTGCAGAGGCACAGCTGTTCCCTGGCTCCTCTTCCCAGCAACTGGCCCACCCACAGTTTCTGCAGTCTCTTGGGCAGAAGGTGTTGCCAGCAGACTAGCTCATGCCCCTGCAGCTGCTGGGGCTGTTGCTTACCAAGCACTTTCAGTGCCTATGTTCCTATGGTCCTATCTTTGCCCTTTTACATCTTTCTCCATCCTTCCCCCTTGCCTTGGCACTGTGGATACATCTGTGGGGTGCCCAACTCAGCAAACTGCAGAGGAGAAACAAGCACTTTCCCATTTTCAGAATGGTCCCCAAACCTCAGAGGCAATTCTGTTTTGGAGGCCTCTAATTCACAGGGCCACTCCAAGCAGGGTGGAAAGGGGAGAAGCACAAGAAGCCTCCTCAAATCTCTACTGAATGTTTTTGACAGTTTTCTTCCTCATTTACTCCTTATTTGGATTGGGGAAGTCACCACACAGTGGGGGTGTGTTCATGTCCACCTAGGACTGAGGTGTCAAGGCCTGGTATCCTCCCCAGAGGATGCTCAGCAGGAGGTATACATGGAGCAGCTGCTGAGAGCAGGGCAGGGAAAGCTGTGCCCTTCAGCGTTGTCATGCGGGGAGCAGGCAGCCCATCGCCTCCCTTCATGTTGCCAGAGTGACTGCCGTGGGGCACACAGTGGTCACCTGGGTCTGCAGGAGCGGGACGATTCCCATCATCTCCACTCAGCCTCCTTTCTTCTGTTCCAAGGAGACTTAAAAAATGCTTTTGGGATGGAAGAAATGAACTGCTTGGGAATCTGAGCGACTTCTGCTCTAGATCTAGCTGGGTAATTTGGGGCGCCAGTAGAATTATCTGATTATCTCCTTGGGACCATTGTCCTCTTCCCCCAAAGCAGGCCTCTTGCAGTTGATCTGCGCCCTGTGAACTTTTATTTAAAAGAAGGGAATGTCTATAGCTGCATTTTCAGAGCTCTTAATTCAACTAGAGTACGAGGTTCTCTCATAGGCTGTGCTGGTGCTATCGTCCCTAACTCCCAATGTGACAGTATTAAGTGGAAGGGGCCTCTGAGGAGTGACTAGATTACGAGGGTTACCCTATCATGAATGAGAATGGTGTCCTCATAAAAGGTCTGGGTGAGTCTGTTTGCTCCTTGTGTGATGCGAGCACATATAGGAGGCAGAATCTATGAGCAATGAGCCATCACCAGACACTGATTCTGTGGGCAACTTCATTCCACAATTCCTATCCTGGTTACAAACAATAAATTTCTGTGGTTTATAAATTACCCAGTCAAAGGTACTTTGTTATAGTAGCAAGAACAGATTAACACGGGCAATTTGGAAGATTTGACAAACAAATCAGGAGCAAAGATCAGACATTATTTAATTTCCCAGCTATGTCTCATTTTTCCTTGCAGAGAACTGCTTTTTGGCTGCCAAGTACAAGGATTTATTCCTTCAACATCCCCTGGCTCCCCTGTTTTCCCACTGAGTGGCTAGATGGAAGTTCCCTCCTACTTGTCTGTTTTGCTGAGTTGAGATCTCAGAAGCACATTTAACCTTCCATAAATCATAAAGAAGCTCTGAGATGCAAAAAACCATAGAGCAAAAGTGCTGAGCATATTCCATCACTTATTGCTATTCTGTATGCATTTCTAAGAAAATCACATATTGTACCATAAACCTTCTTTCAGTTCTGAGCTTTCTTGCACCTTTTCTCTGTTTTTACTCATAATTCCCCAAGAACGGCAGAAGCTTCCTGATATACAACCACAAAGTGCTCTCTGTAGCTTTTCCTTATCCCAGTCATGGTTAACACTGTGAATGGAAATACATAAACCCCATTTACTGGCCTTTTAAGAATGTTTTCTCCCAGAAATGCATTTGATCTAGCAGGAAACACAGACTGGCTATTTCAAAGTATTTGATCACAGCTACACCTTGTGACAGAGGGAAACCCCCAATAAATGCTGCAACAAATAATCATGGAGTTACTCGGAATCCTGTGGGTGTCACACCTTAATGATGAGAAATGGGAACTTGTGGCATATTAAATTTGACCATTTTCTCATTCATCTTAGGAAGAAGATTCAGTTCAATGGACCTTTTGGTTATGAGGAAGCAGAAATGATATTCAATTCTGATACAGAGACCATCAGGAGCCAAGCTGTTCTCCATCATAAGCCTGAAGGTTGCTTTTAGTGTGAGTAAAGAATATTTTTGCAGCTGATGCTGATATTGACTGTGAGGCGAATCTGAGTCTGGATTTGAAGCAGAAACTGATTTTCTCTCTTCTTCTCTCTGAGTTTGAGAGGAGGTTTGAACTTTAAGAAGGGAAAAGTGTTTAAAGATTCTCCTGGTGGGTGGTGGGAGAATAAGAATTGCCGGGGGCTCTCTATTCATGGGCATGGCTTGGGATTCCAAGGGCAGCGATGTACGATTCATTTTAAGTTCTTTTTTTTCTTTTGCTATAGTTTGATTCTAATATCTTCAAGCCTCTAAATAAGCTTTATAAAACTAGTCTTTGCTGGGTTTCTGAGGATTAGTGGAAGGGCCTATAGTCACACTTTGGAGGACCACTGCAGGCAGCAAAATAGCAGGCCAGAGAAGCTGGATAACAAGGAGCTGGGAGTGGAGCAGCTGACAGTGACAATGGCTGAGTGGCAAGCAGATGTAAGCTTTGCTCAAGGAAGATCTTAGCCAATACTCAGGGAGGGAAAAATGGGAGAAGACTGAACATCCTGTATGGGATCAGGGCCAGGTTGTTCTTTAGGTGTTAAATGTGACAGTGACCTGTGAGGACTGGAGAAATTGGGAACGTTGGGCTTTTCTGAGGACTGAAAACTCTAAGTAAGGCAGCTGTGTTTCTTATTTTCCTATATCCACCAGCTCTATGTCTAGGCTTCTTGCCCATCTCCGATGATTCCTATGAAGTTTCCACAAATCACTTAATGTGAACAAAGAAGATAATCTGATGGTGTTTTGATGGTGTTTATTTCTGACCCTGTCATTCTTCCCAAGATCCAGGTAAAAAATAGGAAATACTGAGAAGTCCTGATCAACACATATGACATTATTTTAATAGCACAAGCCATTTAAACTCATAATAAATATTTGAAGGCAATAAAATAAAACTTCAGAGGTAATCTAGTGCATCTTATACATGGCTTCCTTCCTTAACCAGAAGTATTTTATCACCACTTGCCCACTGTGGAAATGTAGTAGATATGCTCTGGGAATATACTGCAACTCGAGCCAGCCAAGGAAACTTACTTTCTATTGGAACTCCATTTGTTAACCAGCTAATTCTGGGTTTGGGGTTGCCATTAGCTCTGCAGATCAGGGTTCCATCTTCTCCCGGGGACAGCACAAGATTTTGGGGTGCCATGATCCAATATGGAGCCGCTTTTTTGAAGGAATAAAAACAGACCAAAAATCTGACTCAGATAAGTATTACAGTAAAGAATACATTGAACTATCTTAAAAATAAATATATTATTTTTTAAGAGATCTAGTCTCATTTTTTAGAGTGCACAGATTTATAAGAAATGCTTCAAAGAACACTGAGTATTCAAAAGAATATTAAAAGACTCATAAATTGAAAATCAAAGACCTGTAAAATACATATAAAATTAGGAAGCAACTTAAAAAACTTCATTTTTGAAAAGCTGCAAAGGTAATAAAGGTTCCTCTAATGTCAACATCTTATATAACCAGTTGTAGTTGCCAAACAACAAATTAACATTGGTATAACACTATTAAGAAAACTATAGGGCCAGGGATTTAGCTCAGTGGTTCCGCCGCCTGTTTCACAAGTGCAAGGTCCTGAGTTACATCCCTGGTACTAAAAAAAAAAAAAGAAAAAGAAAACTATAGACTTTATTAGGATTTGCCTAGTTTTTTCACAAAGTCTTATTTCTGTCCTAGGATCCTGTCCCAGATACGACATTGCATTGACTTGTCTTGTTTCCTTAGTATCTTCTGATGAGGCAGTTTCATTTTTTGTGATCTTGACACTTTGGAAGAACATGAATCTGTTATTTTGGTAGAATGTCTTTCAACCAGAGTTCTCCTGATGTTATCTCATGGTTAGCCTGAGGATTGGGGTTTTGAGAAGCACCCAGTGGTGATGGAACTTCTGACTGCACCATAATAGGAAGGAGATGAGATCAACATGACCTTTTACTGGTTAAAGTGGTGCCTGCCCAAGTGTCTCCACTGCGAACCTAATCCTCTCCTGCATTGCATACTCTGTTGGTCAGCAGTGAGCTACTAAGTGCACCCACTCAAGAGGAAGGGAAGTAAGCTCCATCTCTCTGAGGAGGGAATATTAAAGAAGTAGTGGACATATATTAAAACTACTTCAGTGACAAAGTTTTTGGAGGGGGACACTTTGAAGCTATGCAAATACCCTGTTTCTTTGAAAAGTTTCACCCACTAATCCTTACATTTATCACTGTATCTTTCCTGAAACAATTATCATTATTAGGTTATAATGGTAATTTTCTATTTTCCTCATTCTTGCTAACTCTACTAACTGGAATTCCTTTGTGAGAAAGATTTGAAGGAGCAAATCTTTAACTTGGTGTAGACGCATTATTTTATTTGTTTGGTACCAGGGATCAAACTCAGGACCTTGCACTTTTGAGGCAGGTGGAACCACTGAGCTAAATCCCTGGCCCTGTAGATGCATTATTAATAGCAATGAGGAAAGTTTCAAGGCACCATGACTGTTGATATAAATTCTTATTTCACTACTGAAGAACATGATCAAAGGCATATAAAATTGAATTTCAGAGCCTTTCATGAAAGCAAGAGGAATGCATTTGATATAATGACATACCTTTAACTGTAACAGAAATGGTATGATGAATGGCTCCTAATGCATTTTTGGCTATACACTGATAATTTCCAGAGTCTGCTTCTGAAACTTGAATGATCTGCAAGGTTTTCTTGAAGTTCCGATAAAATGTCCGGTTGGTAGGTAGTGTTCCATCTTCTTTTATCCAGTAAATAATTGGGGTAGGCCTGATAGGATAAATAATGATGTGATAAAGAAAAGCTCAACCATGAATATTTTTCAGGGTAAATTTCATGCAAATTTATAATAAATTCTTTAGGTAAAGATCATGAAAAACATGCAGATATTTTAATTTGAATCACACTTTTATAAGAAATGTTCAAAACCTATATTTGAAATGGTAAGTTAACATTTTCACACAGTTATGGTGTAATTTATAGTATACTGTGAACTCCAACAACAGTGTTGCTTGAGTTGCCTTATTGAAGGGACTTGATTATTTCCTTCAACATTTTGATCAATGAGGAACTCCTGGACATTTTTACAGGAAGGCATTATGTCAATAAAAAGAATTACCATTAATTAATGATGCTGAGTTATAATTTTTCATCAGCTAGAGTTAAAAATGTACAGAGAAAGAGTTCACATATAATCTGTTCCTATGAACATATACACACATTTCCATATCAGATGGGAGTGATTTTGTTTTATATCTGATGTGAATTAAGTAATTAGAGGATTGGCATTCTTTCCTTAATTTAATTACTTGTGATATTTAAAATTACTATAACAACTGTTAAGAATAGGCCGAGTTAATATATTCTATAATGTGTCACCCAACTGTGTTTCATATTAAATTAAGAAATATGGAAAAAGTGAAAGGCCCCAGTACAGGCTTGGAGTGAGATCTTCCAAGTTCCAGTTCTGTCCTTAAATTTCTCTCTGATCATGGATCCCTGACCTCTCTGGGCCTCAGTTTTCTTAGCTGCCTTAATGGGGATAAGAATTCTTGATGTGATCTAATGACATTAGCAGGTTTTCATGAGGGTAAAGTAAAAGTCCATTCAGCACAAACACTTGTAAGCACTAACCTATGTATCAGGCATTGATCTGTGTGTTGGGAAGATAATGATGAGAGAAGAATGATCCAGGCCCTCCGAAGATCACATTAGAAATGCAAGTGGATTTAACTGACACTCTGTAACAATGATTTTGAATTGTTTGGATAAACAGCAATGACTGAGTATATATGTGCGTGTGTGTGTGTGTGTGTGTGTGTGTGTGTGTATCTGGTGAAAGATATATATTTGATGAAATAGCTTCCAAAATTAAAATATGCCATGAATTTAAAAAAAGCAGATGTGGAATCATTTTGAAAAAACTGATTACTTCTGAAAAACTAATTTGCGTTTCATAGATATGAAGGTGAGATGGGTTGGGGTTAGGAGTACAATACAATAGGTCACATCTCACAAAGCTATGGATTGTTTTGGAGGGCTACTATTCTACTGAGCAGTTGTTAAGAGTTAGGAATATTTTGATTCTATCAGTCTAGTGCTTGGTTTATAAGTGATAGTCTCAGTCTCGGTTTTACAAAATTTAAAATTATTTTCTGGGGCTTTGTGAAATTTCCATATACCAATCATATTTTATTTTACATTTTATATAATACAGGTGGAGCACGTCTAATCCAAAAAAGGGCTTTGTGAAATTTCCAAATACCAATCATATTTTATTTTACATTTTATACAATAGGTTGAGCAGGCTTAATCCAAAAAAGTGAAGTGCAAATTACTCCAAAATCTGAAAACTTTTTGAATGTCATGCTAAAACTTAACTGATAAAGTCTATGTAAATATTCCAAAATACAAAAAAAATCTGAAATCTAAAATACTTCTGGTCCTAGATATTTCAGAAAAGGTATACTCAACTTACATATCATTTGTGGGAAGATGAGTCACTAAATTGTGAGAATGACTTTCAGGCCACCATACCACTGCCCCCAGCACCCAGGAGCAGAGCCCCTCCACCCAGTGGCGAGGAATTGAGCTGTGCAGGCATCAGCAGCACCCCCCCCCTTCCCTGATGAAATAAGAAGACACTTAAACAAGACTCAAAACCAGAATTCCAGATCACCTAAAGCAACCCCAAAGGGAAATGAGATGGAATAATCTGATACTCAACCACCTGGACTCCTTGAACTGGCAACAAAAGAGGATCTGGAAAAAAGGAAGTCAAAAATAATCTGTCAGATAACAGCAAAGATTGTGCCCATAGTGCAAGACATGATTAATAAATCTAGAGAGGACACAGATAAA